CAGTGATGTCATCTGCACCCCTCGTCCCCCGCCGGCTCACACAGGGCTGCATCTGATGGGGTGGGGGCAGGACAGGAGGGCTGTTTCTAGACCCTCCAGCCGGCCACGTAATTTGTTGCTGGAAGGACTCCCAGGGGCTGAGTCAAAGGAAGCCGGGCACAGACTCCAGCCGGCTCTGGAAGGCAGGTGTCTCTCCGGGTTGGAAAGGGGCTGACAGCTTGACAGGAGCCAACCTCCTCTCCACAGAGGAGGAGGGCTGCAGCCTGCTCCCCATAGCCAGCTGTGAAACTCGACCTGCATCTGTCCTGGGCTGCGACATAACAGGCAACTGGTGTAGGATGGGAGTCTGGCACTGGGCAGGGGTCCTGGCCAAGGCGGGGGTGCAGGCATTAGCGCCAGGACTCTGCAGAGAGCTTGGGGTATTCACCCACCTGCTCCTCACCCTTAATACTGGCCAAAGAAGGGGGGGGATTTTCATTCCCACGACCATAGGAAGGGACAATCAGCCTTTCTGAAGCTGCAGCCCCCAGGGTAGGACCCAGGAGGGAAGAGCAGAAGGTGACTTCCACGAAGGCTGCTGGGAGGTGCTGGCCACAGATGAGAAGGGCCACTTCCCCATGATGCCACACCATTGCCTTTGACAAAGGCCACTTTTGCGAACAGGGTGCAAGGCAGCACTCTGGAAGGTGAAGGGCACTTTGCTCCACAGATGGGGTCATCGGGGTGCTCCAGGCCTTCTCGTCCCCCCACCTCTGGCCAGTACGCTGGGCTTCTGAGGGCATGAAGCGGGGAAAGGTCGTGGAGGTCATGGTGGGCCAGCCCTCTGATATCCACCCTGTCACAACCTGTCTCCTGCTTGCACACCTGCCGTGATGTGGAGCTCATTAGGTACCTTCAGGGTCAGGTGGACATTTCACAACTCACCTGAACTAATTCCCTGTGGACCTCCCACCCCATCCCCGACGTGGGGCCAGCTCTGCCCTTTGAGCATCTCCCAGGCCATAGCCCATACTCTGACCCACGACAGCCCTTTCGAAATTTGAAAACACTGACAAGGTCTCTACCCAGGTTTCCTCATCCAAGCTAGACATGCAGAGAATGAGGGGTGGAAAGAGATGAAAACAATTTTACCCAAATAACTTCACCTCCCACAGACATTTCCCAGCTCCAGGTCCTGCGCCCCAGGCTTCCAGAACTCACCACAGAGAGCTCCAAAGAACAGAGAAAACTGTGTGGGGAGTTTCCTGCAGGCACCAGACATAGCAGACAGGTCCTGGCCAGACACTGACAATGGCAACACCTTGTTTAAATGCGTGCATACACTCGCACACACACACACACACACAATCCTGAGTTGTTTAAGTACGCGCACACACACGCGCACACACACACAATCCTGAGTTATTTAAATGCGTGCACACACACACGCACACACAATCCTGAGCTGTTTAAATGCGTGCACACACTCACGCGCACACACACACACAATCCTGAGTTGGGTGGGAGAGTCCTGCTACTCCCGAGCAGCCAATGGGACACGGGTTACGAGCAGCGCCATGAGGGTGTTTGAGTGACCCCATGCAGCTTCTTTAACATGTCTCATTACCTGAAAGCTGGCCCATCCACCCCTCCCTCCATCTCTACTTGTTGCCGTGGATCCATTCTGACTCACAGTGTCCCTAGAGGACAGAGTGGAACTGGCCCACAGGGTTTCCTAGGCTGTCAGTCTTCATGGAAATAGACTGCCTCTTCTTTCTCCCATGGAGCAGCTGGTGGGTTCGAACTACTGACCTTTTGGTAAACAGATGTGTGCTTGGCCACTGTGCTATCAGAGCTCCTTCATCTCTGCTCAGGCGACAGGAGAGGATGCTTCTCACATGCACCCAGCAGACTGTCCACAGTTGTGGGGCGTGGCCTGCCTGGGGTCATGACTAACAGCTGGTGAGCACCAAGTCCCTCCCGCCCTTGACTGCGACAGCCTGCCCCTCTACGCCCCAGGAGTCAGAACAGAGTTACGATCTTCTCAGGAAAGCCTAACTGGTATGCACCCTCCAGCAGGACACAGAAAGATAAAGCCACTTGATGAGACGCAGACATGACGCCAAGTCCCTCAGTGGCCCAATAAACCAGACCTGTAATGAGAGGTAAGAGCACCTCAGCAATCTGAATCCAAGTCCAACATGCATCTTGCAGGCTCAGAAATTCCTTCTGAGGCAATTCCACCTCAGACCTTCAGAAACCACCGTGGGCAAAAACGGGCCAGTTGTGGCTGGGTGCCTTGTGGAGGGGTAAGGCCAGCAGGGTGAGAGCACCTTGCCTGAGCACGATTCACCTGCTGGGCCTGTTAAAGCAGACTGACCGTGCAGGCCCAGAACCGTCCTGAGAAGAGCTCCCGGTGAGGCTGAGGCTGCAGGGCCAGGGACCACCCTTTGAGAAGCAAGGAGCCGCCTGGATTAGTACATCAAAGGCAGCAAGGGCCCTTGAGTCACCCGAAGGTGGGCAGCCCGGGGCAGGGTGACACCCACACCTGCCTGCAGTGCTACCTCATGTCACAGGTACAGGTGTTTGCCAAGAGTGAGCTCTCAGATAGTGTTCTCATTTCATACCCGCCGAGGAGTGGAGCCTCGTATCAGCCAGGCCAGTGAGCAGTTCTTGGTGTCCCATGTGGCAGGAGAGTAGAGGAGGCTGTAAAATGCATGGGGGAGACTTGGGGTGACCAAGGACCGTGAGCCATGTGATCGTTGTCTCTGGCTCATAGCCAGGTGAGGAGCTCAGAGCCTGGTAGGCAAGACCAGCACCCACAAAACTAACTCTGACAGGGTGTGAGGAAAGTCCTGCCAGTGACGTGCACAGGAAGCGCAGCAGGCCCC